TTTTTGCCAGTTCCCACGCTGGAGCATCCAACATAGAACTGTCCGTGAGAGAAGCAAGGAAACAAAAGGTTTAGGCCAACCATCTTAGGGACTATCCCTGGCTTTTGTAGATGGTCATGGCAAAGCTCACTTTAACCGGGAACTGAAGTCACTTGAACTCAAATGGCAGGTCAGTGGTGATGAGAGGTATACTTGGTATAAAAACGTCCTCTCCTTTAGCTTTTCCTGTCAGTATTGTAGCTTCCAGTACATGTGGCATCATGTTCTTCACCACCAGTCTTGTGCCATTGCAGAAGATTGGTGGTTCAAGATTTCTTAAGAGCATTATAGGAGTTCCAATTTTGAAAGTGAGGTGATGAGGAGGCATTGAGGAGGTCTCCAACGAATTAAGGAATTCTGCAGGGTACTGGACTGCTTGGTACTGGTCGATAACTGTATCAACAGATTTGAATAAGGTCTCACTGCCTGGAAGCTGTCTGAGTAGAGTCATGTTGATTTCAGCCACTGTTTCATTCTTTGGTGCCAGAATTGCGCGTTCACGCAGCCACTTGTGATCCTTGTAGTGTTGGATAATGTTTGGGTAGACCATGTTAGTGAGCTCAGTTGAGGACTTTACAACATTTCCACATCCTTGAGGAATGATTATTTGTCCTTCTGAGTCAACAGGGAAAGTTCCATTTCCAATCTGTAGTAGAAGGCTTGCAAACCGCCCAGCATCCTCATCTCCTTGTGAGACATAGTGCATTCATCCAAGACTATGAGGCTGCCTTTTTCTAAGAATTTTGCCTTTGCCGATCCTTTTTTGATGTTGCACACTGGATTCTCATTTTGAGCGAGGATGAGAGGCAGTTTAAAAGTTGAGTGTGCAATACGTCCTCCTTCTAGTAGTGTTGCAGCAATGCCTGAGGATGCCACAGCAAGAGCAATTTTCCCCCGATGACGTACTTTGGCTAACAGAAGGTTGATCAGGAATTTTTTCCCTGTCCCGTCAGGTGCATCGAGAAAGATCATACCTCCCTGCTCCGCCTGTATCGCTTGCAAGATCTGGTCATAAGCATTTGCTTGATGAGGCACCAGGTGAGGCTCATTTTCTTCAAGAAAATTCACCAGAACTTCAACTGAGGAGTGTGTGTCTCTGAGCAACTCCCTGTTTGCAACTACTGGTTCTTCTCGGTTTGGGGAAGGCAATCCAAAATCATTCAGGTTTTTTCCAGCATGATGAGAGCCCTGTTGGACATGTTATCCATGAACTCAATCTCTTGACCAGGATGTTCTATTCTTGCTTGATGAAGCAGATCCTCTGAAAGACTTTCTTGGTGGTTTTTTAAGAGCTGGCTTGGGTTGGAAAGTCCACATGTAGCAATCATAATGGCAAACAGATTCCTCAATCTCATTGGCGATTGAGTAGCTGCTGCCTCTTCGAATGTGTCATTCCAGTGACCATCATCTTCCAGTAGGAAAAGGAGATTGCACGCTTCCTGATAGGTTCTGCAGACTTGTCTATTCACTGTCTTGAGTGCTGCATATGATGTTGGGCAACGGATGTGGTGCAAAAGTAGTCTCAAACAATAGCATTCAATGTTGTTGGGGTGAACCGTGTATACACATCCCAAAGCATTGCCTGACTTTATCCCTGGATATCCTTCAACATCGGATGCTTTAGCTCTTCTCTGGAACTTTTTCATTGAAGCCTGCCATATGTAGAACTTGGGTACGTCAACATACAGGAGTATTTGAGCAAACTCATCTTCCTGTGAAAGCTTGAAGAATGCAGTGAGGGTCGTATCAGCAGTATTTGCCAGTTGATTTTTGAGGAAATCTTCTGTGAAGTATACTCTTTGTCCATTTTCCAGGTGAACAGCGAGATGAACTACTGTTGGACATCGTTCGTGTATAGGAAAAGTAAAAATTCTCCATGGGACTTCATTGCTGCATATCATCACTACATATAACACCATCCATCATCACTACATATAACATCATTCATCATCACTACATATAACACCATCCATCATCACTACATATAACAACATCCATCATCACTACATATAACATCATCCATCATCACTACGTACAACACCATCCATCATGACTACAGATCGGTAAAGTAGTTTCCGCGATTCTCGTGCGGACACACAAACAAACACACCACACACAAACAGACATACTTCTGTGTTATATATATATATATATATATATATATATATATATATATATATATATATATATATATATATATATATATATATATATATATATATATATATATATATATATATATATATATATATATACTCTATGTGCAATGTAGGTGCGCGCGATCCAAGTATATGGTGATAACCACAAAGAAGCAAGAAAACACGAAGTTCCCAAGCGCTTTTGTGTAATTCACATCTTCAGGGGTGAGTATAGACTAAGGAGAAATACATGACTAGGCTAATATATACAGTAGAGGAGAGTGAGATCAAGTCCCTAGGGGACAGCAGGGGTCCACAAAATTCCGGTTATAAGGCAGTGACCATTACTAATTTTCTTATTCTGTGACAATAAGAACCTCTTAGTATTACCATTTAACAAAAAAATTTCTCAAATTCATATACAACTGAAAACCTGGAACGTTAATGTGGCATTTAAAAACTCATGCACTGTAAAACAAATGTTAATTAAGAACTCCCCCAACAATGCTGGCGGCTGCATTTATAAGGTTCCTTGCAAGGAATGTAATATGTTCTACTTAGGCCAGACAGGTAAAGATCTTATAACTAGACTTAAACAGCATAAATATAGTGTTAGGACAGGCCAGGAATCCAATGCTCTGTTCATTCATATGAGGGATAATAAGCATTGCATTGACTGGGATAATGCCTCCTCAATATGACCTTGTAATTCAATTGTCAGTAGGAACATTATAGAATCCAGTCTCATTAAACACACCGAATCTGTCAACTTGAATTTAAGTAATGGTATGTACAAACTGGATAATTTTGTGATTAAGAAGATTTGTAACCAGGTGAGAAGGTTGGGTCATCTTACCCTATGACCTGAACATATTGGACCCCTGCTGTCCCCTAGGGACTTGATCTTACTCTCCTCTACTGTATATATTAGCCTTCTCAAATATTTCTCCTTAGACTGTACTCACCCCTGAGGATGTGAATTACACGAAGGCGGTTGGGAACTTCGTGTTTTCTTGTTTCTTTGCGGTTATCAGCATACACTTGGATCACGCGCACCTACAGTGATTTACTACTTGCATAATATATATATATATATATATATATATATATATATATATATATATATATATATATATATATATATATATATATATATATATATATATATATACATATATATATATATATATATGCTTGCAGAATCGCCGCAATTAGAGAATACCAACAAGAATCCCTTGGATTCTCACCATATGGTCGTCAAGTAGGAGGACCCCTTAGAGTTTAATCAAGTTGCAGAGATTCCTAATCAGATTGTTGGTCAATATCTTGAAAATCTTAAATCTAAAGTAAGTAAAGTAAGATAAATTGCACTAGATGATTAAATGATATCTCAAAGTAAGATGAATAATATTTAAGATCGAAAGGCTAAAATCCGAAAGTTCAAGTCTGAAGATGAAGTATTGCTCTTTCTTACTGTTCCAAGCTCACCTCTCAAATGTAAATATCAAGGCACTTACAAAGTATCTCATCGGTTAAACAAGTAAACTACGTTGTTCTAACTCCTGCCCGTAGAAAGAATTCTTAACTCGTACATCTTAACTTAATGAAATTGTATCGCAGAAAGAATCCTCAGGGTGACTCGGGTGAGAGACCTGTCCTCACCAACCAGGCGTTCTCTGCTGAGGACATAGATTTGGTTGGAGAGGATAGTCCTATTGTGGAAAGTAGGAAAGAAAACTTTAATATAATAAACAATATTAAAGAGTATTTACAAAACTTGACCACTCAAGAGCAGGTGGATGTTATTAAAAATTGGAAGAAAATTCTGGTGTATGCAGGGATGGTCCAGGTAGATGGTGTGTTGTTTCCAATGATATCGAAATCTATGATAATACCTATCCCATACAACAGACTCCTTATCAACTCAATCCAGAGAAGAAGGCCAAGGCGAAGGACGAATTTGACTCAATCTTTAGGAGCAAGATCTGGTGGTAGCCAGCTCCTCCCCGTGGGCTTCTCCTTCCCTGCTGGTCCCAAAAGAGGCGAGTGGAATAAGATTTTCTACAGATTATGATAAATTAAGTTCATTAACTGCGCCAGACTCTTATCCCCTCCCATTAATTGATGATCTGGTTGATACCGTAGGTCGAGCAAAGTATGCTACTAAGATCGATCAACAAAAAGAATTTGATTCCATTGATCTGTTATGTTATATTACTATTATTCTATTGTATTACTTCTATTCTACTATTGTATTCTAAATTCGTTTCTATTATTCTATATCCATTCAATTTATGACTCTGTTGAATCTATTGATCTCTAGATTCAATTTGATTCTGAAGCGTGCATTAAACATCTGTACTGTTTAGTAGGAGGCTTAATAAAAAAGATCTTTCACATTTATGTACAGGCTGGTCTCCAACAAGACTTTAAGTCAAAGGATCAAAAAGTTAGCTTTTCAAGATGGTCGCCGGTGGCCCTGGAAAAGACCTTGACTTTGATCGAGCTGACCAGACCTTGATCTAGCTGACCCGACCTTGATCTAGTTGACCTGACCTTGATCTAGCTGATCTGACCTTGATCTAAGATGTCCTAAAACATCATCAATCGTCCCAATATCATGGTTAAGGCCAAAAATGAACTTGACACGTGACCACCACTTTGAATCTTGAAAACAGTGTCATATTTGTATTCCTCTTCCTCATAACCTCCGTAAAGAGGTATTACTTGTTACATAAGCATTTTTGGTTCAAAAGTTATGGTACGGGTGGTGGCCAGATTGGATTTGTCCAATATGGCCGTCAAAATAAGATTTCGGTTTGGCTACCGTGACCTCAGTGCCTCCTCCAGCTGGACGCTCGACAGCACCGTTCTCGTGCTCCTCTGCATAGCTCGTAGGGGCAGCCTGATTCCCTCCAGGTGAGGCACCTCTTGGACTTGGTCCTTGTGGAACACCGTCAGGGCCGCCACATCTCTCCGGTACTCCAGAGAGTCTACGGTGGTGACGATGTAATGGGGAGGGTGTAAGGCAGAATCCATCAGTCGCAGGGCTCGCCTCTGTATCTTGTCCAGTTTCCAATGTGGGAAGGAGCGCTGGACATCCACGACAGGGATGAGTATTCTAAATAAGGCTTTATCTGAGCCTTATAGGGCGTCAGAGTCCCACTGTGATCAAGGAATCTCGTCAACCTTCTCAGGGAAGATACCATGAGTGAGGTCTGTGAGCGCAGTTATTGATGTGTTTGTCGAACCTCAATTGTTTGTCAAAATCCACTCCGAGGATGGTCAGGTAATCCAGGCAGGAATGGCAGAGGCACCCCCCCCCCCCCAAAGAGGATTCTATTCTTCAGGGCGTGGGCGGTCACCGGGGAGCGGGATATCACCATCGCTTGTGCTTTCTGAAGGGCAAAATTTACCTGCCAACGTGTACCCCCATCCACGGATCAGCTCCAGTTGCTGGTTTACTCTCTGGACTGCTCGCTGGCTATCCTGATTGGGATAAGAGCACAATAGGGTGCAATCATTAGTGTAAGCTGATACCACTGGCATATGTTGTCCCAAAACAGATCCCTGGGGGACCGACACCTCTATTGGAAAGTCTCGGGAGGTCTGGCCATTGACGACAACTCTAAGGATCCTCCCTCGCAAGTAGTCTGCTAGGAGCAGGAGGAGGTTCCCCTCGATTCCATTCGCTCGAAGCTCTTCCAGGAGGACCCTGTGCCATACCCGGTAGAAGGCCCTCGCTATGTCAAGGGCGATCACGAGGGTGTCCAGACCATTGTTCAGCGCATCCTGGCAGTCTCTGGAGAGGAGCAGCAGCAGTTATGGCGTGGATCGAGATGATCTGAAACCAAACTGCTAGTTAGACAGCAGATTTTGGTAGTCAAAGTGGCGACACACTTCCTCTGCGACTAGCTTCTCAAATACCTTGCTGCCCACAGATAACAGTGATATAGGACGGTAGTTTCCTGGGTGTCGTCAGGGTTAACTGGTGTTTTAACATTAACTTTTCAAGGTAGACGTTTGACTCTTTCTTGAGTTACCACGCGCCACACTCAACATCACCTGGGACAAGACCACGTAGTGGTCTGAATTACCTATCTGTCCCAGCTGGTGGCATCGAACGGAATCATCCTGGAGGTGAGAGATGACTGGGTCCAGCATCCTTCCGCCTGGAGGTTGTCATAGGAGTCCTGGACAAGATAATAATTCAAGTCCCCCGTGATCATGACGTGTTGACAGTTGTGCCGGGTAAGGTAAAGACTACAGAGCAGGAGAGCAACGCCACCGGCGAGGACAACGCAAAAGAAAGTGCTTCTATCCACGCCGGGGTGTCAACTTGCAGGACCTGGATCTGAAGTGCTTCCTTAAAACAGACAGCCACACTTCCACCTGCCATCCCTTGACGATCTCTCCTGATCCACAGGCTGGAGCGTGCAGTTTGTCCTAATGTTGGCTCCACGCTGTTGTTCAGCAGCGTCTCCGTAACTACAATGATTTCCGCATTGTTCTTTAGGGCAAAATTGTTCATGAGATCGCCAATGTTGGTCCGGAGGCCCCTCACGTTGGCCGAGAGGAGCACTAAATGGTTCCGGCGGGGTGTTATTATGATAGGAGAGTAAGGGACAGACAGACAAACAGAGGGAGTCAGGGGGGACTGAGAGAGAGAGAGAGAGAAATGAGGGAGGGAGATAGAGAAACAAACAGATAAAAGGAGTATGGGGAATTGAGAGAGAGGTGAGGGATGGTAAGCAAAGCAGGTGGTAGGTACTGTATAGTAGACAATGTGTGGAGAATTAACAGGTAGGTGAAGGAGGGAAGGATAGGGTAGGAAGATACAAAGAGAGAGAAATGAACGAGACAGCCGCGAGGTAGACAGACAGACAGATAGTGTGAGGTACTGAGGTAGGGTTCGGAAAGAGCGGGAGAAACATCGTATATTGACGTATCATCATTCGTGTCTCAACAAGTTAAAAACATGTTGACGGTTCAGGATTCCCCCTCCCCCCTCTCCAAAGCAGAATATTGGACGATGAGAGAAATCAACAATGGTTCGTCGATAACTTTTTTAAATAATCATAAAAATTGTGTCTGCATAACAGCATTGTAGTGTAGTGTCTGTCTGTCTGTGTGTCTGTTAATTTACTAACATGACACTTGCTCTATAGTGTTGCCTACGAGTGTCTCTAGAGTCTGAGAGAGGGAGAGAGAGAGAGAGAGAGAGAGAGAGAGAGAACAAAATAACTTACAAGAAGAAACATACTCAGAAAAATAATAACTGCCAAACAAAGGACAATAAATAAATACATTAATTAATTAATTATACAAATAAATAAAGTTACTTGTTAAGAATTTCAATTCAGATAACTAGTAAGAATTAACATAAATAAAAAGGTGCAATTTTCATTATGGCTAATTAATTAATACCTTTGTCAGTTTTGAGTCAGCCATGGCCCGCCTTTTTCTAACTTCTCACTGATGGAAGTTAACCACGAGTGTTAGAAGTTTGTTTTAAGGCAATTCTACATTTTGATTCTCCCTCACATTGGTTGCTTTCTTATAACACAAAATACAATAAAATTTAAATACGCTTTAGAAAAAAAAAGTGATTTATTCGTCATCAAAGTCAATTATTACCATAATATTATTCATGAAAATGGATAACTTATGTTCAAATATAAATTCTTTATTTATTTTCAAAATCATCCATTAGCTTCAACGTATTCACGGAAGCAGGATTTAACTAAGTTCAAATATGAAATACGTTACCTGGTTAAGGAAAAGTAACAACAAATAACTTCGACACACTACATGTTAATTAACGAACTCCAATGAACGCACCTGTACCCTGGTAATTACCCATAACATCAAAGGTAAACGAATTTACCATTATAAACGTAATCATGGCAAGGTAAAGTATTTAGCGATTTTTTTATTGCTGTGTATTTCTAAACGTGAGGAACATCAAACTTGAGAAATTTTTGACTGATGAAAATTAAAGCCTTTTTGCTGTTTACTTTGATATCAAATAATTATAATTTCATATACACTATACTATGTTATTAATGGCACATGAATGCCTAACCACATGTATGCACTAAACGCACACACACAGGTGATAGCTTCCATATTATGAAAAACGTTCAAATGAATGCTCATATGAACGTTTTTCGTTTACTAAACAAAATATGGTTGTAAAATGTGTGTGTGTGTGTGTGTGTGTGTGTGTGTATGTGTGTGTGTGTGGGTGTGTGTGTGTGTGTGTGTGTGTGTGTGTCTAGTGTGGCAGCATTATGTTAGTGTTAAGGTGCAAGCACTGCTTGCTTCCTCTCGCCAGCACACAGCCTCTTCACCATCAAGACTGCTGCAGTACCTCCTCGTGGCAAAGCACAGTAACTGGGTGCCTCATGGGCAGATCAATACAAGATGCACGAAATTTTTAATTCCACTAAAACTTTTTATGGGCCAATCACTCATGGCGCAACCCCCTTCTGCTCATACGAAAAACCGATGTGGATGTCCTGACTACCCAGCAGGTCTCTCAGCATCTAGAGCTGATCCATTTCAGCTATCCTCCATCCCTGGATGAGGTAGCTACTACCATCAACAGATGAAAAATAACAAAGCTACAGGGCCTGATGGAATCCCAGCGGAGGTGTATACAGCAGGAGGACCTCTGATTACTAGCCGTCTCCACTCTCTCCTGGAGAATACTGTATATGGGAAAAGGATGAAATCCCCAAGCTCATAAAGACACCTCCATCGTCAACATTTATAAGATTATAGGAGACAGGTCAGACTGTGGCAACTATCGCTAGATCTCGGTCCTGTCAGTAGCTAGTAAGCGATACCGAGTCCTCCTAAACAGACTTCTTCCTGGGCTTAGACCATCACGTAAAACCACTGAAATGATCATTGCTGCCCGTCAAATACAGGAAAAAACAGAGAACAGCGTCGTGCCCTGGACATGGCCTTCATTGACTTAACCAAGGACTTCAACCCGGTCAACAGGGAAGCCCTCTGGCGAACCCTCACCTGTTTTGGCTGCCCACCAAATGGCACCCAGTCTGAGTTCTTCCCCATCCAAACGGGGTAAAACAAGAATGTGTACTAGCACCCACTCTCTCTTCCGTTTTCTTGGCTGCCATCTTTACACGTGCCAGTGCCAACTTAGACGGCTCCAGGCAGAAACAAATGTGTCGGCAGCTTTCTTTACTGAACTTCAATACGCAGACGACCTTGCCCTCGTCGCTCACACTGAACGCGACCTACAGGAGATCCTGAACACCTACACAGATGCCTATGCACAATGGTTCAGCCACACCTACATCATCCATCCAGCTTAACGGTTCGACCCTCTCTAATGTTACCCACTTTCGGTATATCGGCTCCCACCTGCCAACCACCACGGACATCGACAGTAGACTGCCAAAGCAGCTACTTACAGTCACCAAACTAATAATTAATATAATGCTGGCGGGAAACTGAAAAGGTATAAGGATAATCTTAAGACAAACCTGAAAAGTGCCAAATCGACCTCTTCACCTCGGACACGATCACTTCACACAATAACGCTTAGAGGAGCACCACAAGAGTAGATGTCAATACTTTCGAGTTAGCCCGAATGCATGCTGAGGTAAACAAGCGCCAACGCTGGAAAGACGCTGCTGCCACCCCTCCCACATTAGACGTAGCCCTCCACACATGCGGCCTCTCGATTCAACTCAGAGCTGACCAACGAAGGTGATACCCTTATTAACTCATAGCATTGTATCAAAGCTAGATGATCATCATACTCGATTCCCAGCAGCAGGAGCAGCAGCAGCAGCAGCAGCAGCAGTAGTCTGAAAATGGAATGCCAATAACTGTTGCTCCAACATTAGCAGATGTCCACGAAGTGAATGACAGACAGCCACCACAGTGCAATGGCATGTGATGGAAAATGCGGAATAATGGGTTAAAGAAACCTACTCAGAAGTTGTCAGGTGGTCGCCAGCTAACCTGTTTGAACCATCCAAGTGTGCGGCCACCGAAGAAATGATTCTGGAGATGACTCGCCATATAACCGAGTACACTCAAAGACTACTTTCTTGCCCCTTTAGCTCTTCAAATATTGGCAATAATACCCCATCTATTCTGGCAGAGGACACACGCAAGGACTAAGTACAAAGAAAATGTGGCAGCATTGAGAAGATTGACAATGTGGCAGAAAGGTGCCCTTGATGATCTCCTACATGAAGCAAGAACACTGTAGGAGAGACTAAAAATCATAGGAGACGGAAAGCAAAACACCGAGGATGTTGCCAGAAAGTTTTGAAACAAGATGCAGGTGGGAAAAGTGTCTTTGGCGGTAAGATCTCTCACAGAGGAATCTTCCGGTGGTGTTCTGCCAATAAACAGAGAGACATTTCAACTACTGAAGGAAAAACATCCCCCTGCAAGTGAAGAGAAAGGCACCAGGTTCCAGGGTGCTATTGAGCAAAGCTACTGAGGGAGATCTGCCACGACGTCATGGTGGAACCGCCCCTCCTTTCATTGGACGGTGAGAACCTCCGTCACAGGAATTCAAACACACCCAAGGAAGCCGGTGTAGACGTCAGTGGTAGAGGATTCTGGAGCCTTTTTTTACATAATGATTTTTGATCCCATGGCCGCATGTCACCGCAACCTAGCTCTTGATGCTGCACACAGGAGGAACGAGAACGACAAGATTAGGGCATATGGGAAGAGAAGTCAGAACGCTGATCAAGGTAGCTTCACTCCTCTGGTGTTCACAACCTCTGGCGGGATGGGACCAAGTGCAAAATGCTTCTACGCCAGACTCGAGGAGGTGTTATCTGAACGGAAGCAGCAGCCCAGAAGTTATGTTATAGCCTGGTTGAGATGTAGACTGTCCTTCTCTCTGCGCTTAGGTCTGCATTACTTTGCCTCAGGGGAACGAGAGCATCAGCCCCAAAGCCAAAAACAGTCGCAGATATCCTCTTTGTCTCAACAGTCACTGAATGCTGCATCGATTTGCAACTCAACTAACTCATCACAGCCAGTGTAGCTACTTATGCAATAGGATAGTTAGTTTTAAGGAAATAAAATGGTGGCGAAGGTGTGGCTATTGGAGGCCAT